GGCTGGATTCAAACCTACCCCCTTAGGTGTATGTGGCTGGCGCCTTAGCCACTTGAGCCACAGGCGCCGAGCCTACTTTGGTTTCTTAAGAGTAAAAACTAGATATTGATTTGACACCTTTATTTTCTCATATTAGCTTTCAATGCTATAAATTTCTCTCTTTTTTTAGTTTTTTGGGGAGTTTTTTGGAGACAAAGTCTTGCTCTGTTGCTAGGGTGGAATATGGTGGTGTATCATCCATCCCTCACTATAACCTCAAATCTCTGGGCTCAAGTGATAGTAGCTGGGATGCTATGAATTTCTAAACACTGTCTTATCTCTATCCTACAACTTTTGTTATGTTATATTTTCTTTTATATTTGGTTTGAAATAGGTTCTCATTTCCCCTTGTGATTTTTTTTCTTCAGCCAACATGTTATTTTGGAGCATGTTGTTTACTTTCCAAATATTTAGGGCATTTTCCGGATAGCTTCCTCTTACTGATTCCTGGTTTAATTCTGTGCTAGTCATTATTCTTAGTGAATTTTTCTAATTTACTAAAACTCATTTTATTTCCCAGAGTGTGGTTTACTTTGGTATATGTTTTGTGCACACTTCAGAATGTATTTTTTTTTTTTTTGAGACAGAGCCTTAAGCTGTCCCCCCTGGGTAGAGTGCGGTGGCATCACAGCTCACAGCAACCTCCAACTCCTGGGCTCAAGCGAGTCTTCTGCCTCCGCCTCCCAAGCAGCTGGGACCACAGGCGCCCGCCACAACGCCTGGCTATTTTCTGGTTGCAGCCGTCAAAAGGGCCCCAAAGTGAGAAGGAGCCAGGTTGGATTGCAGCCATTTGGTGGCCTGGGCTGGATTCAAACCCGCCACTTTAGGTGTATGTGGCTGGCGCCTTAGCCACTTGAGCCACAGGTGCCAAGCCTACTTCAGAATGTATATTCTGCTTTTTTTGGCTCAAGTGTTCTTTAAATATCAGTTAATTGAATGATAGAGTTAATTGTCCTGTCAGTTTTGGTTTTTGTTTGTTTGTTTGTTTGCTTTTGAGACAGAAAATAAGAATGAGACCCCATTTCTACTAAAAATAAAAAACTCAGCCTGGTGTGGTGGTGGGTGCCTGTAGTCCCAGCTATTCAGGAGGCTAAGGCAAGAGGATCTCTTGAGCCCAAGAGTTTGAGATTACTCAAACTCTTGAGCTATGATGCCACGGCACTCTACCCAAGGGAACAAAGTGAGACTCTATCTCAAAAAAAAAAAAAAAAAAAAGTGGGTTTCTTTACATGGTATGTAGTTGAGTCTTTCTTTTTTATTCAGGTTGACAATCTCCACCTTTTAAGTAGAGTGTTTAGACCATTCATATTTAATGGAATTATTAATATGATTGGATTTGTATCTGCCATTTTGCTATTTGTTTTCTTTTCTTTTCTTTTTAGAGACAGAGTCTCACTTTGTCACCCTCAGTAGGGTGCTGTGGTGTCACAGCTCACAGCGACTTCCAGCTCTTGGGCTTAGGTGATTCTCTTGCCTCAGCCTTCTATGTAGCTGGGACTACAGGCACCCACCACAATGCCTGGCTATTTTTTTGTTGCAGTTTGGCTGAGGCTGGGTTCAAACCCTCCACCCTCTGTGTATGGGGCCGGCACCCTACTCCTGAGCCACAGGCGCTGCCCTGATATTTGTTTTCTATATCTTGTATCTTTTTTGTTTCTCTCTTCCTTGATGCCTTCTTTTGAGGTAAACAAATACTATTCTAGTATACTCTTTTTTTCTCTTTGGGATAAAGACCCTGACTCTGTTGCCCTGGGTAGAGTGCCCTGGCATCATCACAGCTCACAGTAACCTCATGATCCTCTTACCTCAGGCTCCCAAGTAGCTGGCACTCCTACAGGTGCCCACAATAATGCCCAGTTAGTTTTTTTCTATATTCTAGTATACTCTTATTTCCTCTGATTTCATTAACTTTTTTCCTTTTAGTTATTTGATTGGATGTTAGACATTGTGAATTTTACTTTATTCAGTGGGTTTTTGGAATCCCTTAAATGTTTCTGGGATTTTTTTCTGGGCTGCAGTGAAATTACTTGGCATTAGTTTGGTCCTTTCAGAGATCGAAGCTAGTCTGGGTTGGGGTGGCAGCTGGGATGCCAGGCCAGGGGAGTAGGGAGGTCTGAAGCAGGAAGGAGTAGAAGGTAGTCAGAAGTCAGATGGGGACTCCAAGTGGACTCTCTTGGTCCCTGGGGGCATAGAACTTGCTGGTGTATACAAGGTTCCCATCCTTCAAATGTAATAATGGTTTCTACTCGGATTGGATCCTTTTCTAATAGTGACTTTTGAATAGAGTTGCTGGGTTCTTTGTACTATTCTTTCCAGTTTTTTAAGTTTGAAATTCTTGACCCAAGAAAGGAGAGAGCATCTCACACAGGATATGGTGCATTGTGCAGCAGCCATGTGCAGCCCCCCCACCCCACCTCAAGTTGCCAGGGTCCAGCAGTGTCCATTTAGAATTTCCCTTCCAGTCCAAAAGGCTGGTGGGGAGCACGTGTGCCAATTCCCAGCCCCCCCTCCTGACCCTGGTCCCCAACTCAGCCATGGTTAATGTCCACAGCATAACTTTCTGTGCTTGGGAGAAGGTCACCTGAGGTTAACCCTGTACTCAAAAGGCCCTTCACTAATCTGTGTCTGCCTTGGAACCCTGCAGACAGAGGCACTGGTGTCTTGGGTGAGTGACAGGTGCATGTCATTTCAGGAACTGGTGACTTTCAAGGATGTGGCTGTGGATTTCACCCAAGAGGAATGGGGTCAGCTGGACTCCCCTCAGAGGGCCCTATACCGGGATGTGATGTTGGAAAACTACCAGAACCTTCTTGCCCTTGGTAAGAGGGCTCCCTCAAAGCTAGGTGTCCACTCTCACTCAGCCTCTGTCACATGGGAGATGCTAAGGATGCCTTTAGCACCAGCCCTGGTTCCAGACGTGTCACAACATGGGAGACGTAGCCTTTTCCTCTGTCATGCCAAGAGTCCCCAGTGGGGAGCATGGCAGCTGGTGGCACCCTCACTTGGAGTTGTCCCTGGTTGCAGGTGGGGGGCAGAGAGGGAGGACTACTGTTAGGGAGGAGAGTGGGACTTGGGGCCCTGGAACCCAGCCTGTCCTGGAGCTGTCCCCCTGCAATGAAGGGAGAGTGTCAGCATGTGTGCAGTCTTCAGAGGATCCATTGCAATTTGGGTTCTGTGTCTGAGAGTCCCTGAGGCTACTGGTTCCAGGGTGATGGTGTACATGTCACATCCACTGTTATTCATTGTTCACGAGGTGTCTCAGAAGGTCAGCTGGGCCTGGAGAGCCACAGCACACCTAGCCCTGCCGCTTTCTCCCATGAGCAGGGCCTCCAGTCTGCAAGCCAGACGTGATTTCCCATCTGGAACGAGGTGAGGAGCCGTGGCAGGTGCAGACGGAAGTCCCTGGAGGGCCTTGTCCAGGTGAGCCAGAGACACAGCGGGAAGGTGCTGGGCCTTCCTCTTCTCATGTGGCTCCGGTTTTCCTTCTATATTCCCACTGCCTGGTTTCCTGCTAGACCTTCCCTGCCTCCAACATGGCCTAAGCACTGACTGTGAGCCAGGACCGGTACTGGGGATATGGCAGTGAACAAAACCAACCAGACGCCGGCTAGCTAATGGGGACACAGGAATCATACCTGTTGGGTGGAAACATTTAACAAGGGGAGTTTGCTGGGGGCCTGTAGTATACATGGGATTGGGATTGGGGCTTCAATCACCAAGAAGAGGGGACAGGAGCAGTGAGGACACAGGGGGACACAGCACTGACCAGGGCCAGGGTCAGTTCAGGCTCAGGGTCAGCTACACCCACTGGGCCATGGCCAAGGTGCTGGCCTTCCCAAGTGAAAGTGGCCAGAGACAGGTCCTGAGCAGAAGTCGGTCTCAGTTTTTCTTCCCTGACATTTTTGTTCCTATAGACTTCTCTCTGAGTCAGTTAATGAATAGGTGGATTGAACAGTTGCAGCCTGATTTAGTGGATAATAAGTAGGCCCGGTGTGGGCAGTGCCTGTGGCTCAAAAGAGTAGGGTGCTGGCCTCATATGCCAGAGATGGCAGGTTCAAACCCAGCCCCAGCCTAAGGAAAATTAAGAAAAAAAAAGTAGGCCAGATGTGGTGGCTCACTCTAGCACTCTGGGAGGCTGAGGCAGGTGGATTGCTTGAACTCAGGAGTTCGAGACCAGCCTGAGCAAGAGCGAGACACCCCAGCTCTACTAAAAATAGAAAAATTTATTCTATTCTCTACTAAAAATAGAAAAATTTGCCAGGAATTGTGGTGGGCACCTGTACTCCCAGCTATTCCAGAGGCTGACGCAGGAGGATTGCTTGAGCTCCGGAGTTTGAGGTTGCTGTGAGCTAGGCTGAAAAAATGGCACTCTAGCCTGGGTGACAGACTGAGAGTCTCGCAAAAAACAAGTTGAGTGAACAGTGCCTGCTGAGTGTGCAGGTATCTGGGAAGTGTGAGACACTGGCCTTTTTGTGGGAAAGGCTGCAACATGCAGCTAAACACAGAGCCACAGGGCCTGGGCATGGCCAGGTAGCCCCTCGGCCTCTCCAGACCTTCCGCAGTCCTCCCAACTCCCCCACACACCACCCCAGACCCCAAACCGTGTTGGCAGCTGGAGCCCCAACTTCTTGCACTTTGCTTCCCACCACTTCCCTTCACTGCTGTCTGCTCTCTTTGCCAAAATTATAGTTTTTAAAAAGTAATGTTTCTGTTTGGTTAATATATGCTGTGAGCTATGATCGTGCCGCTGTACACCAGCCTGAGTACAAAGCATAACTATGTCTCAAAACAAATAAAAACTCCGAATTCCAGTGCCATGCTTCCGTCTATTAAGAGGAAACTCCTTTTTTGATTTCTTACAGAGTGGGAACCTAGGCCCAAGACGAAGGAGGCGTCCTCTCGCCAGCAGGACGTTTGCAAAGAAGAGCCGTCCCTGGAGCTGACTCTGCCCAGCCTTCTCAGTGCCAGCTGGAACGAGGCATGGGCTAGGGACAACCTGGTGAATGCTCTGCAGCAGAGCCCAGCCGTGCGCTGGCTTGGAGCGTCTGCCACCCCCGGGGACATCCCTATGGAGCCAGGTCCCAGGGAGTCCGAGGAGAAATGCCCCCTCGGGTGTGCCGTCTTTACGCTGCACAGCCTTCCTCCAGGAGGACACTCTCAAGGCAGACAGGGCAAGGACATCCGGTCCACTGAGGATGGAATCAGAGCTGCCCGGAGGACATGTGCTGGGGAAAGCGCTTTCAAATCTGGCGAGCCCAGGAAGTTCCTGGGCGCGCACCAGCTTGGTGCGAGCACGGCTTTCGGGGAGCGCGGGGAGGCCCCCGGGCAGGGCACGGTGCGGGCAATGCCACAGCGCTGGCCGGGCAGGGAGGGGGCACGTGCGTGCAGTGAGCGCGGCAGGGCGTCCCCGTGGGGCGCGGGCCTGCTGGGGCACCGGCACAGCCGCCCTGGCCAGAGGCCCTTTTTCTGCGGCCAGTGCAGCAAGGCCTTCAGCTGCCACTCATCCCTCAACGTGCACCAGCGCACCCACACGGGTGAGCGTCCCTACAAATGCGGCGCCTGTGACAAGGCCTTCAGCTGCAGCTCGCTGCTCAACATGCACCTGCGCGTGCACACGGGCGAGAAGCCCTACAAGTGCGGTGAGTGCGGCAAGGCCTTCAACCAGCGCACGCACCTCACACGCCACCACCGCATCCACACCGGCGAGAAGCCCTACAAGTGCGGCGCTTGCGGCAAGGCCTTCACCTGCCACTCGTCCCTCACCGTGCATGAGAAGATCCACAACGGGGACAAGCCGTTCAAGTGCAGCGAGTGCGAGAAAGCCTTCAACAGCCGCTCGCGCCTGACGCTGCACCAGCGGACGCACACGGGCGAGAAGCCCTTCGCCTGCGGTGACTGTGGCAAGGCCTTCAGCTGCCACGCCTACCTCGTGGTGCACCGCCGCATCCATAGCGGCGAGAAGCCCTTCAAGTGCAACGAGTGCGGCAAGGCCTTCAGCTCGCATTCCTACCTCATCGTGCACCAGCGCGTGCACACTGGAGAGAAGCCCTTCGACTGCAGCAAGTGCTGGAAGGCCTTCAGCTGCCACTCGTCCCTCATCGTGCACCAGCGCGTGCACACCGGCGAGAAGCCCTACAAGTGTGGCCAGTGCGGCAAGGCCTTCAGCCAGAACCACTGCCTCATCAAACACCAGAAGGTTCACTCTGGGGACAAGGCCCTCAAGTGCGACGAGTGTGGTGAGGTGTTCGGCTGGAGCGCGCACCTCCGGGAGCACCGGAGGCTGCACAGTCCTGAGAGGCCCTTCGCCCTCCAGTTCAACGAGCACTTGCTGAGCACCTACTACATGCCCATGCAGGGCAGTCTGCTGGGCGCCAGGGACGGGGTGGCCGGGGACGGGGACCCGGTGAAGGCGCTAGATGTGGCCAAGCTCTTGTGTGTGGTCCAGCCCCCAGCCAGCAGGAATTTCCCCCGGGAGCAAACCTCAGCAACTGACATGATGTAGCCACTTCCTGAGTCACCCAACAAGGAAAGCACTCTAGCTCCTTCCTGGCTACGGACCACCTGTTCCTCCAGAAGCCTGAGCGTTGCCTTGTCCCCAGTCGGGAACTTGCCAGGACACTTCCCTACAAGGATACACTTTAGGAGGCGGGTGGTAAGGACCATTTCAGGAAGTCCTGTCATCTGTTTCCTTACTGGGTCTGGAAATCATTGACAAGGAAATAAATCTTCCCTACAGATTAAAAGAAAAAAAAGTCTATCAGCTATCCTGTCCTTGGACAGGCGTAGTTCGAGCTGAAATTTCCTCTGTAAACTGTTACACTCAGAGTAATAATAAAATAGAAAAATCATGAACAGTTTTACTTCTCAGAGAACTGTTATATTTCTGGAGGAGAAAATAAACTCAGATGGTGGGCATTTGAAAAAAGTGAATTTCCTGGACTTACCTCATGTAAATAGCTCCACTACAGAGCCATCCTTTAAGACAACACAGTGAGGGGTGTTCCAGCAGGGGTGGCAGCATGGCCCAGCGTCAGTGTAGCCAGGGCCTGACGTGCTAACAACATGCCTTGCCACTGAGTCCCTGATGAAAAATTGGAAGCGCCCAGGCGTCCAGGGATTGGGTCTGGAAGCATCCCTCTCCTGACTGGGACTGGACTGGGCAGGCTGTTCCAGACTGGTGAGGCCGCCCTGCAGGGCCTCTCTTCCAGCTATATAGCTGGTCACCAGCCCCGCTCGTGGGGGGGGCCTTCACAGTGCTCCCTAGAAGGGGGAGCCATAGCCCAGGGAGATAGTGGGCTCCGTGGTCCCATGGGGGACTGTTGTACAAACCCCCCCAAACAGGCGACCTTCCCCATCCCTACACTCTCCACAGAGATTAGAAGCCAGAGTTAATTTGGAGTGAATGTATTTCAGTTCTAAACATGAATAAGCTGCCCTCTCAGTGATAATATTTACATTTATATAGAATGCTATCGTTGATGAAATACTTTCAATATTTTTTTTTTTAGAGACAGAGTCTCACTTTGCCACCCTCAGTAGAGTGCTATGGTGTCACAGCTCACAGCAACCTCCAACTCCTGGGTTTAGGCGATTCTCTTGCCTCAGCCTCCCAAGTAGCTGGGACTACTGGCACCCGCCACAGTGCCCAGCTATTTTTTGTTGCAGTTTGGCCAGGGCCGGGTTTGAACCCGCCACCCTCGGTATATGGGGCCAGCGCCCTACTCACTGAGCCACAGGCGCTACCCTCAATGTGTGTTTTTAAATACGAAGATAAACAACCACACTTCAGAAAATGTGGACTTAAGAAAAATAAAACTCCCATAATTCTTTTTTTTTTTTTTTTTTTGACACAGAGCCTCAAGCTGTCCCCCTGGGTAGAGTGCCATGGCATCACAGCTCTCAGCAACCTCCAACTCCTGGGCTCAAGCAAGTCTCCTGCCTCCGCCTCCCAAGTAGCTGGGACCACAGGCGCCCACCACAACGCCTGGCAATTTTTTGGTTGCAGCCGTCATTGTTTGGTGGGCCTGGGCTGGATTTGAACCCGCCACCTTAGGTATATGTGGCCTTAGCCACTTGATTCACAGGTGCTGAGCCACTCCCATAATTCTTAATAAAACTGCATTTTGCACTTTGATACATTACCTTCTGCTTTGTTCACATTAGCATTTTACATCAAACATGGTGTATCTATCATTTCTATCTTTTCTTCCCCCTTAACTGCATAGCAGAATTTTTTTCCCAAGTAGCTGACCTGTCCTTATACTGCTACACGGAGGCACAGAGTTCCATCTGGTCTATTAGGATCTCTTTTGTTGGACGGTGAAGTTATGTCCATATTTTTCACTGTCACAAATCACATCTTACTGAACATCTTTTTGCATTAAAGTTCTCTGGTGTTTTCTTGGGTTTCTAGAGATGAAAATTTTAACATAAAGGAAATGAATATCTTTGGGAATTATTTTGGTATGTTTTTAGTATATGTTTCATTATTAAGAGATCAATCACTGGCTCGGTGCCTGTAGTTCAGCAGCTAGGGCGCCAGCCATGTACACCTGAGCTGGCATGTTTGAATCCAGCATGGGCCTGCCAAACAACAATGACAACAACAACCCCTGTTTGTCCATCCCCTGGTGACAGGACTGTTAGAATTTTGGTGTCCAAGCCAGGCATGGTGGCTCACACCTGTAATCTTAGCATTCTGGTAGGCTGATACAGGAGGATCCCTTGAGCTCAGGAGTTCGAGACCACGCTGAGCAAGAGTGAGACCCTGTCTCTACTAAAAATAGAAAAATTCGCTTGGCACTGTAGCAGCCACCTGTAGTCCCAGCTATTTGGAAGGCTGAGGCAAGAAGATCACTTGAGCCCAAGAGTTTGAGATCACTGTGCACTATGACGACACGGCACTCTACTGAGGGTGACGGAGTAAGACTGTCTCAAAAAAA